CTCATGCACGCGCTCTCTCTTTCGTGCGCAACACTTCATTGCATGCACAGAAGCGTCTAGGCGTGTGGGCAGAGCCTCCCGCCACTACAGGTTGGTCAAACAGGGCTGAACCGGGAGCAACCCATCTCTGCATTTCCCCCAATGCAAAATGACAGAATTCTAAAAAATCTACCCAGATTTATTTTGGTTTCCTCATCCCCTTTTTTCTTCTCCAGTTCCCTCTTCTCTGACAAGATGGAAAGTGTCTTTAGCTCCGTCAGCTGTTTGTCCAAATAGGACTGCTGAGTTCTACCACTTTCAATACCTTGTTGAATGAGCTACAACAGACAATCTACAAACCAGAGTTATTCTCAAAGCCAAGTTAGCAGCATTGCGTTCTCCTATGTCTCCTTCGAATCCTGTCATCCTTTCTTTTCTTTTCTACCTTAGCAGCAATTTCAGTTTTTATTTCATGTCATTAGTTAACATCTCCCAGAGAAACAATTTCCTTTGGAGCAAATGCAATGCTTTTTTTTAAAATTATTATTCTTCAAATTCTTCCTTTTTCAAACCATTTTACCACTTTCTGTAGACATGGCTTTGATTTTTTTCAACTACAACTATAGCTGGCTGGTTTGCCTTTTCAGCATAGTGTTCTATTTTCTTAACAGCAGAAATTGTTGAGCATAATGTTTTTCTTCTCCTGCATCAGCTAAAGCTTTTATTAATACCTCTGCTTTTGAATTAGGTTCTGCATGTTCTGCAGCAACCAAAACCACAAGTATTTCTTTTTCCTCAAGTATCCAGTTGACAGCTACTCTTTATAACAGTTCCCCCCACCCCTAGTTTCTGTTTCTTTAAAAAATTGATTCCTCTAGACAACCTACTTTTTCCTCAGTTTCAGCCGATGTTCTGAATCAAGGATACAATGATCAAGGATATAGCTAGTCAACCTAATCCTAATCCAGGTAAGGATTTGTATTGGGACCCATGATATCTATAATAAATGGTACAAATTGATGCTGTACAGTATTGTAGTTCTTTCAAGCAACACTCCTTTTCATCTCCATTCACTGAGGGACTTGTCATTGGTGATACAAAAGGGTTTTTGGCTTCCTAATTTGTCTGTCAAATTCAATACAGATTTTTTTTTTTAATCCACTGATTTGGTACATAAAACAGACAGGCAGCTATGGTTTATCATTTCCTCAAATTGGGATTCTCTTATTTGTCAATCTCATAACATTTAATAATTAAAAGTCCATATTGGCATACTTCTTAAACTTTACTATCCCCCCCCCCTTTTTTTTTGGCCAGTATGGGTTACCTAAAATAATAGTCTTCAGATGTTCCTTTTTTTTAACCATAGTTATAACCCGTCCTCCATGTAACTCTTCTGCAAATACTGTGTATTTAAACCTCTTGTATATAGTTGGTTTAAAGACACCTCTTCTATATAGTTGGTTTAAAGACATTCAAAGCAGCTTATTCTTCAGAAAAGTTGTTCTATGTCTCTGCCAGCTCTCCTCAAATCAAACATAGTATGAATATCATGGTTTTTGTTCCTTAGGTTCCATTAAAAACCAACAGAAAGATGTATGGATACGTGATAAAACCTAATGGTATCTTTCCGTTGAAATTTAACCTGCAATATTTCTTTTTCATAATGGTGAGCCTTTATATCTCAACGGCATTTGAATGTTTTTCTTTTATTCTCTTCAATCTTTTTTTCCCCTCAACTTATTCTGTTCCCTGAAAATATTTATAAATATTTCATTTATTTCACTACTCATTTAGTCAATAACAATCTCATATCTTTCATGCTGGTTTTATAACATAAGATCCATTTGTCCTCACATTAAAAAATAAAATAAACTAGCTTTGTTCATCATCCAGGATCTGGAATTAATTTTTGTTAAATCAAAAATCAGCCATGGTGGTGCAGTAGCTAGAATGTAGTATTGAAGGCTAACTCTGTCCACAGTCAAAGTTCAATTCTCACCGGCTCAAGGTTGATTCAGCCCTCCATCCTTCTTCTGAGGTCAGTTAAACGAGGGCCCAGATTGTTGGGGGCAATAGGTTGACTCTGTAAACTGCTTAGAGAGGGCTGTAAATCACTGTGAAGTGGTATATAAGTCTAAGTGCTATTGCTATCAATGTTCTTTTTTCTTGTTGTTGTTAGTTGCGAAGTCATGTCCGATGAATCACAACTCCATGGACAATGTTCCTCCAAGCCTTCCTGTACTTACCATCCTGTGGAGTCCATTTAAGCTCACACCTACTGCTTTGGTGACTCCATCCAGCCACCTCATTCTCTGTCATCCCCTTCTTCTTTTGCCCTCAATCTTTCCCAGCATGAGGCTCTTCTCCAGTGAGTCCTTCCTTCTCATTAGGTGGCCAAAGTAGTTGAGTTTCATCTTCAGGATCTGGCCTTCTAAAGAGCAGTCAGGGTTGATCTCCTCTAGGACTGACCGGTTTGATCGCCTTGCAGTCCAAGGGACTCACAGGAGTCCTTCTCCAGCACCAGAGTTCAAAGGCCTCCATTCTTTGGTGCTTAGCCTTCCTTATGGTCCAACTTTCACAGCCATCCATTGCAACTGGGAAAA